GCTCACAAAAACAATTCGTCAAAGCCCTACAGTTACCCTGGCCCAGACCCGACACTCAACATCAATCAACCCATGACCCTTTGACCTAAATGTGTGACCTCTGCCTTCCTGTTTCATCCCTCTTACCCCTCCCTCTTCTTTCTCTGTTTTCACGATTCCCCATTCTAGAACCACGGATCAACAACTCTTTTTTTTGTTTTTGTTTTTTGGTTTTCACCTCTTTCCCAACCACTTCTCACCACTCCTTTGCCGTCCAATCAACGCATTTTCGTTCTGACATTATTTGTTGCACGTTTATTCACTAAATGTATATAACTGTATTAGCCAGAGGATGAAGTTATCGAAAACGAGCTTGTTCGCTACTCGTGTTGTTCTCTCAATGTCACAATGGGAATTTTCAGTGACTTATTCAATTGAAAATTACTTGAATTCAAATAGTTAGAAAAAAGCCTTAGGGGTCTGCATGGATGGACAGTGATCGAGTTGTTCGGTAGTATCCTGGTGCTCACTCGCGAATCCCTTTGAAGCGTTTGAGGGAAAAGTTGAAATTGGAAACAGACGTAGCGCGAAAGAAAGCAAAATTGAGACGTAAAGAAATTATCGAATTTCAAAGAATATACTGCTTGGTGCAATTCTTCTTGCCTTTAGGGGATTAATGCAAAGGTTTAGAGCTAAAGCCGATCAATTGGTTTTCAAGACTGATTTTTGGAAAACCGGTATTGTTATTCATGTACACATTGCGCCGGATGTAACGAAGGAAACATTTTTTCGCGGTACTCTCGGAAATTATTTTGCGTCTCTAATTGAGCCCACGTCAACAGATAACGTCTGCAAACTATGCAGCCCAATTTGAGTTTAATCCTTGATTTGTTTTTGGTTTTATAAGCCAAACGTTTTTTGAGCCCAATACTTTTGGCTTTCTTCGTCTGAAAATACCTCATAATTCGTTCGATTATTTTTTCTCTCACTTTGCTTCTCCCCGTAAAATTTACCAGTTATACTTTGCACATGATCAAGGCGTATCTGATGCTTCTCTCTCCTTTGATGGAACGGTCATGGCTGGCTATTGGGATTGATAGAATGTGGTTAAGCGCTTCATTTGCTACCATGGAGAACAAACAGGACTGTGATGGAATTAGGGACTTATCTCCAACTGGGTACTTGCTGGTCTTGAAATGCGCCGGATGAAACAAACCGCAAGTCGTTCGATACAAAAAAGACCACAGACTGTTCCAGAATATCTCGCGTAAACATCTGCCATTAGACTCCGGAATTATTTTTGGCGGACCAATTGGCAAACAGGGCAAGATTCGCGGAAAAAAGCATTCTCTTTTACCAGCTGATGCTTTTGTAGAAACTACTGTTGACTGAACTCATGATTTTCTTTGAATTAGAGCAATGTGCTTTGGGTTTGTCTATGGAAATCGGTTAGAAAATTCAGTGCTAGCAAAGATATACGATTTTAGTTTGCGTAACTGTTGTGCTCCACGACGTAATACAGAGTAAGCAATATTGGTCAGTTTCAAAGGAAACCAATTTCAGTGAAATCCGGGTTGGTTTTCAATAAAAACTCACGCCAATAGAGAATAAAATATTTCCAAGATTCTCTATAACGTGATAACGATGTTAGCGAGACGTACAGAGTGACAATGTAAGTCCAGGTATGAAACGGTGGCATAACAAACTGATGAGACATGCCTATCCGAAGTAGGTGCTTACGGTTAAATTATTGGTCATTGGATAGTTTTCTTTAAAAATTAAACCAATTCCTGAAAAGAGTGGTTTTCTGTTTTACAACGATAGACGCTAGGGAGAAAGAGACTCACGTTTGGTGAGTAGAAATGACCAGGTTCAGGATGCGACACCAATATGCCACTGGTGAATTCAAATGACAGAAAAAGAACGAAAATAATGACTTTCTTTCTCGCAAAATACCTTTAATCCACTTCCTACTTGGGGGTTATATTACAGAAGTTGTTGGCGAGTTTCCATTGTAGCTTTGATTTTTCTTCTCTGCCAAAAGTCGAAGTGGCTATTGCCGAGTACAGAACTATTTAGTACCGAGCAAAAATCATCAAGATTAAAATTTAGAGCCATCTGTGAGGCTCTTCTCTCTTCCCATCTATCTCTCGAATTGATAGACACACTGGTACTGAAATAGTACACACATCTTTTCTTGCAGAGAACCAAAAATGAGGTTTAACACCAATTTGTACAATGTTATCATTACCGGACTCTCGTTCGATTTTGTTTACGTGGCTTTTCAAACGGCTACGCTAGCTTCGGTAAGTCATACATACAATATCAATTAGGCATGGAACTGCATTGTTTTTGTGTAGCAAAACGCCCTTGAAGCAGCTCAGCAAGAAACGACTGAATACGTGGGAAATGGTTACGTCAGGTTGGCCAATAAATTCGGGCTACAAATGGCATGCTCTCCTATTTCAGCCTGGCGATTTTGTACGGCACGTTTGCCGCGGTCAATTGGATAGCACCCATATTTGTATTACTTCTAACCCCAAAGTATGGTATGTTCTTGGGAGCGTTGTGCTACGCGTAAGTTCGAATCCTTTCAATTTGTGTTCTAATCATCGCAAAACATCGTAGCACATTTGTTGCCGCTCTCATGCAACCGAGGGCTTGGAGTCTGTACCTGACTTCTTGGTTGAACGGATTCGGTGCTTCATGTAAGCCAACTGAGTGATGGGTTTTTTTCGACTGCAGCATTCTCAGTGTAACCATAGATTGCAATCTTCATTAGTCAACCCACATCCACAACTGCATTGATAAATTGCAGCCGCCATCATTTCAAATACAAAAGCTCATGTAGTTTCACGCATCCCAGTCAATGTTTCTACCTTTGTTTGTCAGTATGTTTTCCCCATCTTCTTTTACTGTTCCCCAGTTATTTTTCCTGGCTTACTCAAACAGGATTTCAAGGTCTTACGCCGCAGTCTAACCATTACTAGTCGTGTCTCTTCTATTCCTGTGAATGAGTTAGATTTAAGGCTTTCAGAGTATCATGTCACTTCCTGTGTGAAATTTGCTGAAAGGATTCTCACAGATCCGGTCCACCCATTGCACGCAGAACTGACACTTCGTCATTCCCACCATTCCACACGCTCCCAATTCCGCAAAGTTACATCTCGAATTAACGCTTACCGCAATTCACCTATACCGTATCTTGGTCGTCTACTCATAAACGGAGAGTGAACAATAAGTGAACTTTTTGTTAACCTTGGATTATGAATGTGTTCATGCCTGTGAAAACTTTTCTCACCGTTTATTATGTACATTGCGATGGTTAGCGTATATGATTTTCTAATTGAAATGTGAGCTCTAGTGCTTGCAAAAGTTATACACAAAAAATACAACGTTTTTCCTTTTTAGTATTTTGGACCGGTCAGGGACTTTTTATCGCTCTGTGTTCGGATGAAACCAATGTGAACAAACATTTTGGCATATTTTGGGGAACTTTTCAAAGTTCGTGAGTGTAACGCGAGTTGAAAAAATCATCTTTGATTTGAAAAAGCTATCCGTAGCTACTACAAATACATTCATAAATTTAGTAATTGTTAACTCCTGTCCGAAAACTGTATACTTTTATTGATATTTGCATTTCACTATTACACGGGGTGTAAATCGGCTCACTCGTTTCGTTGTATTCACGTTTCTTGGCAATTGTCGAGCATCTCATGCACGTTACGTAATACGATTTATTGTTACTAATACCAAGTAGACTGTTCATTGGGTACTCAGTGAGATCAATGGTGGGAGATGAGTAATTCATAATGCTCACAGATTGTTTATCTACGTGTATACGCAATTCTCAGTATCATTCAGTCATTGAAAACGAAACTCAAATCGGATAGTCGAGAAGTGTATGATAGATAGACAAGGTGCCTAAGGATGAAACCAGGAGGTATTAAGTCAAAAGTAATAGGAACTTATATAGTTTCGTGTACCAATTGAGGCCGTTATCACAAAAGTTTTTTTGAGAGCAAGATTGTGTTGAATTCAACTATAGTTCGTGGTAATCTCATCAACTTTGTACATACATTCAGTTCACGTTCGGTCAAAAGAGTGACAGTTTTGGGGACAGGCGAACACACATACGGGGAAGAGAAATCAATCNAAAAAGGTCAAAGGTCTCTAATTCGAACAGGATTGGGCATAGGGGAAGAGAGCGCAATTACTGCAGGATGGAGGGGGTGAGGTGGAAATGGACAGTGATGCTTTTCCCCAAACCTGTCATTCTTTTTACCAAACGTGATCTGAAATATGTACATAGCTGATGCGATTACCACGAATTTAAAAAGTCTTGTGATCCTTCTTCTTGTTCTCATAAAAGTGTTGAATGGAACTGATTGCATGAAATCTCATCACAAGGTGGCATTGGAGCAACATAAATTCGACCCGTAGAAAGAAAATCTATTCACAGAATTTTTAAAACAAATCGTGTATTCAATGAATTGCTTGAACACGGTGCTTGGATCATAATTAACGTACAAGCTGCTAGCAAGTCAGTCAATAAATCAGATGACTTTCAGAATGGGGTCACAATTAACGCTTAACAATATAAAATAAAGCACTGGAGGGACCAAAATTTATCTCACAATTTTAATCAAAAAATCACATCCTTTCCCTAATTATATCTACTCATTTTTGCGTAAGGGGATGGATTGAAGGGTTGAATTACCAATCGCTTTTCCATTTTTTTTCTATTAATTTTTTCAAATTGTTTTGGTTTTCATTATAAACTTCATCCGATCCCAATCATCGAACCAGCTTGATAGTCGGTGGGTTGTATGCCTACTTTTCGCTGACCAGAAGTGCTGAGATTGATCGTACCATGCGGTTACAGCTGTACGGCGGTTTGCTCGGTTGTTGTTTACTGGGGGCGTTACTCATGCTGATTTTACGGTCCCCGGTGCGCACCTCTGACAATCCAATTGATCCAAAGAGACAAGAAACAGGAGACCAGGAGGAGGATGTGAGAGCACATGGGGACAAACCACAATCTTGGTGCGTTATCTGATCAGTTTTTATCCAAACGAGAAGTTTCTGAATTGGTAAATCTGCGATAATAAATATTTCGGTGTACAGCGGATTGTGTTTGAAAGTTGCATCATACATCTCTAATGATGTGTTTTTGTTTTCCAAATAACAAATTTCTTTAACTATTTCACTATTTTCATTATTATTATTATTCACGGCTGATACCAGCATCAATGTGGATTTTGAGACAAAAGTTAGTCCACGTTCGGACAGGTAGTTATCATCAAATGTTCTCCTTCCACGGATTGATGCCGAAAAGTTGAACGAGTTGCGCTAGCTCTTAATCGTAAAGATGGGCGTTATCAAGCCCCTCTACTGAGTCGGTTCACTTTATATTTAGCCTTCCTACTACTGCTGGACAAAAAATGGTATATATTTCATGCGTTGAACTATTGTCGGTTGATTAGTTACATGTAAATGCAAACTTTTGTTTTGTGGTCGTTGCGGTTACTTTTTCTCACAGTGTATCACCCTTGAACAGAGTTACATAAATTAATCTATGCAAACAGATGTATATATCTGCCTATTGTGCCAAAGCCAAGACCAAAGCATTATTATGGGAAATGCAAGCAGTGGCTTTTCTTGTCTCATAGTGTTTTCGACACAAATGGATCGATCGATCGACAAACCAAAGAGAACTGAGGAATGTCATAAAGTTTCACTGTTTTGCCTGTTGCTATGGTTGCCGAAATTTAAGACATGATAACGATTCAACCAGTTTCTGCTTAAAACAATCGACTGCGGGCGCAGAAACAACGTCAACCGGTGGGGAATTCCAAATCCTATACCTCCTGAGGGCAAAGGAATGAGTTTGTTAATTCTAGTCAACAATTGTTGAGTATTAAGTTGAATCAATGCCTCCTGAGGGCATTTGGGCGAAAAGGTGAACAGTAAATGACATGGATGTATGTGATTAATGGTACACCACAATTAAGTCTCCTCGAATTTGATGATACTGGGTGGAGAACAGACTCTGTGAATGTAGTCTCTTCACATAGTTCTTGGAATGCAGTCCATTACACATCTTGGTGGTTATCCTAGGATCACGTTTCCGCTATGGATTTCACGATTGAGCGGTATACTCCATGTGGAGTCGAATGTAATCTGATGACAAACGTGGGTGGAGCTTGGGTTTAGAGTTACCGCCGAAACGCTTTAGCGGACCGATCCGCTTGTTTTCGGTACCCCTTGGGAAAACAGTTGTACAAAATGTCAGCAGTTTCATAGCAGCGAATAAAAAGAATCTGCTTGCAGTTGTTCGACTCTTATACAGATACAAGTTTATGCTTATGATTGTGTTTCTACATTTCTATCGGATGCTCCTATTAGGAGAAAATGTTTGTAACTGCATGCGTACATGCAAATGAGCGGACAAACTCTGCAGTACTAGTATGTATCAATAGGCGTTTTGACAATCGCCTTAGACCAATCGGAAAAGATCAATGCAAAACGTAGTGGATAGTTAAAATAAATTGAAAACAATTGTTTGGTTTACACTGACATTTCGTTTCCATGTGAACACCAATCCAACGAATAATGGGTTTGGGGTTTATAAAAAGCCGAATTCACAGAGCTAAACATGTTTTTATGACACTGTTACTGTTAATTCAGTATAATACGATTATGGAGTTTTTGTTAGTTACTCTCACAAGTTGTATCCGAAAAGATATTGAAAATTTCACATGAACCAACACTTAATTCCTCTTTTATTCATGTCCAGTTGAGACAATAAAGAACCGAAATAATCATCAAATTTGAAAGGAAAGCTTACGCGAATAAGGTCAAACGAGCAGACATTGATTATCTGATTTGTAGTTGTTTTTTCCAAGGCACGGGTTAAATGAATCCAAGCGTGAGATTACTGAGATTACTTCTGTATATACATATATATCATCTCTTTATAATAGTCGATCAACTACAAAATTATCCTTTATGCCTCCTTCCGATTTGTAGGACAGAGAGACTGTCACAAATGATGCAAAATTTGTGGAATATTTTCTGTAAGTTTATTTGAGTTAATGATGGACTTTCAGCAGTAACTCCGTGAGAGCATACAAATGAAGAACTAATTCACATAGGTGAGAAAAATGGACCTAAAATATCAGGAAATACTAATGTTTTTTTCCTCATCTGATTCATCAGACCAACTTTCAATATTCATGTTCACTGTAACCTTTAAAATGAAATACAAGCTCAGAGATCGCTAAAATTATCTGGTAGAATCAGGGTTACCATCGATCAGAACTGACTTGTCACATCTGTCACAGACCAATCCAATTTAAGGTGTGCGAGTTTGGCTCAATTATCACAAGTCTCGTGGCAGGCGGATGCACTGGAATCCGGTCTGATACCGGGCATATTCGGATTGGGCCGGGAAATGCTTTCTCGTTCCAATTCCCGGGGCTTAAATTACAAATTCTCATAATGGTGTGCGATGAGATAACGCTGAAAAGGTCCAAATTGCTCCAGTTTATTCCCTCCTGGGTAGAATCATGTTGTATCAGAAAAGCCGGTCCGAGTGAAACGATTCGGAGAGGGGAAACTCGGATGGACTAAACCCAATTCAATTGAAAATCCATATCTCACCTTAAAGATACCGGTTCGAGTGCCTCCAAAAAATTGGTGTAACAGTACGTATATAATGAAATTCAAACATAAAGTCATGCACCTGATACTTACGTCCGCACACACACATGTCAAACAATACGAATCGAAGAAGGGTTCAAAGCCTAATGAAATTACTCTCATCTATATTCTTGGTAGTTCGGAATGTGAAGCGTGGATCAACCCATTTGGTTTATGATAGGCATTTGCCCCTGTGAGCGATTTTCGGGATTCTCCTCGCGGGAACGCATCAAGTGCACACACACAGCTGATCAGATACAACAAAGAATATTTGAAACAATTGATCCCCTTTATCCATCGTATCAAGACCGAAAGAAGACATATATCACGAGATGTTCACATTTCTATGCGCCCACAAGTTGTTGATCCAATCAGTACACTTCTCGTGGAGGTGACCTCTGTTTTTAAATTCTAATAGCCCCTGCCTAACTGTACATGTCCGTTCACTAGGATTTACAAATCCAATATGCTATAAATGTGATTGAAAAGATTAAACGAAGTGGTAACATCTCGCGATAAATGTCTTCTTTCGGTCTTGATAAGATACCAAAAAATAAATAGTTGTCCAGTGTTGTTTTCCTGCAAAAAGCAGGAATTTCCAGCGGAAATTCATATTTGTAATTAGTTGTTTTAAGCTCTATTTGACTGTGGGTTACGTTTACGAATTCCAGATTGTTCTGCGCAAGACACACCAAGGGTGATTACATGCTCGATCCCATCTTTTCCAGTCCAATATGAGTTGTTTTCTGCTTTGTAGTTAAACTGTCTAGAATAAACACTAATTTTACTGTGATTACAAGGCTGGGTA